AGGCAGGATTAAATTCATGTCTCCAGCACTGTATTTGATATGCCTAGAGATATTGAAATGGTCCCAAGGTACTTACTGAGTCATCAGAGAAAGTTAGAGTTATATTCAGTTGTTGTTAAGTCCTTTTTCAGTCATATCCAACTCTTTGTGATCCCATTTGGGGTTTTCTTGGTAAAGATACTGGAGTGGTTTGCCATTTCCTTCTGCAGCTCATTTGACAGATGAGGAAATTGAGGCAAACAGGGTTAAGCGACTTGTCCAGGGACACACAGCTAGTAAGTGTCTAAGGTCAGATTGAGTCTTCTTGACTCCCAGTCCAGCGCTCTATCCATTGCACCACCTACCTGCCCAAAGTTGTGTTCAGTCTTAAGTAAATCATAATTTACTCTTTAAAAGTCAGTAAACCATGTATATGTTTAGCTTTCTGTCTCGTAGCCTTTTTGTAAGCAATATTGGTTTCTTTTGGCACCAACAGGAAATGAGGAACATGGTAAAACAATATTTGTAGTTTTGCTGTGTTGAATTCATAGCTGTGATCTTTGGAAGGGGAGCCAGGAAAGCAAGTTGGTTCTCTGACAGATGTTCATTCTGTGTGTTTATCATCTTCTCTTCAACATACACAACTCAACATTTTTCAGTTATCTCCTATGGACAACACCCTGTGCTGGGTGCTATGGGAAATACAGAGGTGAATGAAATCAGCTAATTGCTCTTGAGGGGTTGTTAGTCTAATGGGGAGAGAAATAGTTCATCTGAAGCAATATAAGAAAGTTCCATCAGACAGACATAACGTTGTGGAAGTTTAGGTGAAAAAGATGTGTTGGGGATAGACATTAGGGAAGGTATTTGAGTTGTGCTCTATTATCACTAATGATAATAGCTGCCATTCATATAGCATTTTAAGATTTGCATATATTATCTTCTTTGGGTCTCACAACCACCCCATGAGAGAGTTGCTAGTATTATATACCCATTTTGCAGATAAGGAAACTGAGGTTTAGAGAGGTTAAGTGAGTGGCACGTAGTCATCACACACTAGTGTCAGAAACTATATGTGAACCCAGGTCTTCCTAATTCTAGGTCCAATACTACATTTCACCAAGCTAGAAAAAAAATAAACAGAGTTGAGAGGGAAGGACATGCCAGGTGAATGAAGCAGCATTTGAGGAAAGATACGGAAGCTGAGAAAGCTCCAGGTATATCAAGCCATGAGGCAAGAGTGTGTAAGTGACTGTGCCAGGTACTCTTGGGGATACAAAAATGAATAAAAACCATCCCTCCCATCAATGGAGGAGAGATGAGACTTGTATAGGCGAGTCACTCAAATCCTCTGGGCCTTGGTTTCACAATCTGTAAAAGAATCAGAGGGCGTATAATACATGACCTCTAAGGTCTCTTCTTGCTCTAAATCTAAGGTCCTATGAACTACCAGGTGAGTTATAATAATCATGAGCATGATACAAGAATTCTGCTGGCCATGATGGAAAACAACTCAGCGAATCACAGATTCTCAGAGTTGGAGGGGACCTAATCTACCCTCCCTGTACATGAAAAAGGATCCCCTTTACAGCAGCCTAAGAAGGAACCTATTAGTCTCCATTTAGACCTCTAGGGATGGAGAACCTGCTCCATCCCCCTTTTGGACAATTCTAGCAAGAATTTCCTTACATCAAAATGAAACCATCCTCTTCTCACTTTGCACCCACTGCTCGTAGTTCTACATAAGTCCTTCCTAGAAATTTGGTGTCCGAAACTGAACAGAATGCTAGTGATATGTTCTGACCAGGTAGAGTACACAGGGACCATTGCCTCCATCATTATAAATACTGTGCTTCTCTTAAGTCAGTTTAGTATTTTATATATATATATATACATATATATATATATATATATGTATATATATATATATATTATATATGTATATATATATATATACATATATATATATGTATATATGTATATATATATATATATATATTTTTTTTTTACCATGTCTCACTATGGATTCATTGATTTTGCAGATTGTAAAACTCTCAGGCCTTTTTTCACATAAATTGTTGTCTAGCCACATCTCCCTGATTCTGTACTTGTGGTCTTATCCAATTAATTTCTTGAACTCAAGTGTAACAATATGCATTTTTCACTATTTCAATTTTATCTTGCTAGATTTGGCTCATTTTTTTCTAGCACTGAATGGACCAGAATTTAAGAATACCTTGAAAGATCAAGCACATTTTTACCTCAATTAATGCTCATGATCTTTCTAATGTTAACCTTGTGGGGTTTTGGATCTTGATTCTCTCACGTAATATATTCTGTTTCCCTCTTAGCTTAATTTAGCCTTAGATCTGGTAATGTGTACCATCTGTACTCTCATACAAGTTATTGATAAATGTTAAACTGAAGAGGGCCAAGATTTAGTAGTTTTCTACTAGAGATTTGTCTCTAAGTTGATGTTGATTAGCTTTGGGTCAGGATTATAGAGTTCCAAGTCCTTCTTAGAACCTTATCATCCATTTCACAGTGATATCTGGAAAGACTTTGTCATACATTACAGAGATTCAGATATCCTAGGTCTTCAACATCACCCTAATTTGTCAGCCTTGCGACCCTGTTGGAAGAGGAAATTATGTAAATTTGCTATGTTTTGTTTATGATAAACCCATGTTATCTCTTAGTGACTGCTGCTTCCTTTTCTAAATGTTCACAAACCTTCCCTCTACTTACACATTCTTGAATTTTCCTAGGATTTAAAGTCCAGTTCACCAGGCTTTATTTTGGAGAATCCACTTTATTATTCTTTTTGAAAACTTGACTATGCTAATTATAATTTTTGATTAAGTGTATGTTTTCGGTCACAGAGTCAGCATTGGGTAGTTTTAGGTGGAGGAAGTAACACACAACAGTTGCCAGAATGGCTGCATCCATATCACATATACAACAATAAACCATATGTGGACAAGCCATTCACCTCATAATTTATGCTGTCTTAACAGCTGGCTCAGATCACAGAAGGACTGATGCAGAAAAGCTGTTAAGCTAGTCAGGAAATCAAAAGCTATTGAAAACTAATATAGGGGCCTTGCACAAAGCACAGCTTGTTTGTCCAGGTGTCACTCAGTCAGTCAACAAGCATTTATTAAACACTAATTTTACTCCAGGCTCTGTTCTAAGAACTAGAGATACAACGAAAGGTAAGACAATGGGGAAGCCAAGATGCAAACAGCAATGGACATCCAACATATGTATAGGTGGAAGGTAGTCTTAGAAGGAAGGTATGTGAGAACATAATTTGAAAAGGAGATATATACGTGATTTCCATTTTAGCTAAACATGTTATTTGGTTGTGCTTTTCCTATTATCATCGACTCATGGGATGGTAGAGTTGGAAGGAGCCTTAGGGATTGCCCGATCTGGCCCCTTCATTCTCCAAGGGCAGAAGTGACTGCTGCCTGCCCTGTAGCTGTGTTTTCCCATGCTTTGGTCAGTCTAATTTTAGATTTTGTCAGTCAGAGAGAGTTCAACATTTATCTGGCAGACAATTGGAAAAGCTTATACTGTTCCTTGCCAGCAATTTTTCTCTCATTCTCGGCTTTGATTTCTCCTACTTTGTATGCCGTTAGTTCTCATGATAGCCTGCCTTCTCACTATAAATTACCCTTTTTTCTTCCTTGGGGCAAAATTGGGCCCCTGGTCCCTTAGCCCTAACTCCTTTGGGGGATGTTTTGAGGGGATAATTTGTACTTTTATGCTTCTACTCCTCCTGTACTTAAAAGTTTAATTGCTCTTCTGAGTCAGGCATCTGTGGTTAAGAGAGTTTTCTGAACTGTTCCCCTGAATAATTGGAAGAAACACTTACTTGGCAAATAAATAGCGTCTCCTTGAACTGCAGAAGGTGAGCAGCCATTAAGACGTAAGCATGATGGGAAGAGCCTGGACTGGAAGTGAGAAAAGCTAGAGTTTTAATCCCAACTTGTCCCTAGTTGTGTAACTTTTGATTTTAGATTTAGATTTTAGATTCTAGAGCTGGAAGTGACCTTAAAGATTATCTGTTATGTTCTTACTTGATTAATGAAAAACGTCCTGAAAAGTACTTTGGAATTCTACCTTAGCCATTTACTAGCTGTGCCACCTCATTTAATCTTTCTGGACCTCAGTTTCCTCACCTGTAAAATGAGAAATTTTGAATTATTGACTTTCAAGATCCCTTTTTAGCACTGAAGAGAGCAGCAGCATAGTCTAATGAAAAGAGGTCTTGTGGGGCAGCTAGATGGTGCAGTGCATAGTCAGCTCAGGAGGCCCTGAAGTCAGGAGGACCTGAGTTCAAATCTGACCTCAGACCAAACACTTGACACTTACTAGCTGTGTGACCCCTGAGCAAGTCACTTAACCCCAATTGCCTAAAAAAATAAAAAAGAGGTCTTACTTCTGAATCAGAGAACCCAGGTTTCAATTCTGCACCTGCTACATATTAGCCATGTAACCTTAGACAAATAACTTACTAACTTCTCTAGATTTTATACTCAAAATGAGGGGTTTGAACTAGAGGATTTCTAAAGTATCGTTCATCTCCAACCCTTTGTTACCTATCATTCTAGGAAAATGATGACTAAATCAGGTGAGTAATATATCTGAAGTCTCCATAGTATAAATAATAATTTAATCTTTCTGGGGCTCAGTTTTCTCATCTGTGAAATAGGAAGAAATATTCTAGTCCTTCCTATTACACAGGGTTATTATAAGGGGGAGATGTACTAAAAGATAAGAAATTCTTCAAAAACCATAACTGTATGCTAGGTATGATCAATAAGAGTGCCTGATGAGCTTGTACTATTGGTGTTTATCTTTTGGGGAGGGCAGGCTTCTTTGTGGTGGGTTGGTCAATTTGGGTCACTTTTTCTAAGCTATTCTTGTCTTGTTTTGGTGAACATTTGCTAGCCTGCTCTTTCCCTAGTCTTAGCTGGCTTTGCTGACGGTTCCTCCTCCCTTCTCCCATGCAGGGTGTGCGACAGCCCAGGCTGGGGCCGAAGATGAAGGGGAGGCAGAAGCTGGCTGGATTGAAGGGGCCGCCATACTTCTTTCAGTTATCTGTGTTGTTCTTGTCACTGCCTTTAATGATTGGAGCAAAGAGAAGCAATTCCGGGGTCTGCAGAGCCGAATTGAACAGGAGCAGAAGTTTACTGTGGTCCGGGGAGCCCAGGTGATCCAGATTCCAGTGGCAGAGATCGTGGTTGGTGACATTGCCCAGGTAAAATACGGTAAGTTTCCCCCCCTTCCCCTCACAACCACTGCAACCTGAGAATCTCTATCATCTTCCACTCTTCCATAGTTTTTGTGCTTGACTTGGAGTTTAGGTGATGTGGGATGGGCTAGCTTGGGCATCTAGGTCAAGCCTTGGTTGTTGAGAGAGAAGATCAACATTTGGTTATTCTAGTGTGGACATGCAAGCCAGTGAGCCCAAAGGGAGGTCTTAACCTTGGTGATCCATCTATGAGTCAAGGACAGAAAAAAGGAAGAACCAAGGTTCAAACAAGGCTCAAGACCAAGCAACAGATGGAAAGATAATCAGTGGAAGTCTGGTAAAAAATCTATACAGTTATTGGTTGAGGTGGGGACCTCAGAGGTCACTTAGTCTAATGCCCTCATTTTACAGATGAGGAAACTGAGGCCCATGGAGGTTGATTGACTTGCCTCAAGTTCCAGTAATAGATTGTTGTTGGAGTTCAGTTGTTTCAGTCGTGTCCAACTCCTTGTGACCCCATCTGGGGTTTTGTTGGCAAAGATATTAGAGTGGTTTGCCATTTACTTCTCCAGCTCATTTTACTGATACGGAAACTGAGGCAGATGAGGTTAAGTGACTTGCCCAGGGTTACATGGCTAGTAAGTGTCCAAGGCCAGATTTGAACTCAGGTCCTCCTGACTTCATGGCTGAAGTTCTATCCACTGCACCACCTTGATTAGTAAGTAATTATTAGTAAGTAATAACTTACTAATGATAGATTAAGTAATTGAGATCAGAATCCAGATCCTCATGCTCTAAATTTAACACTCCCTGGCACCATCCTTTGAAGTCTAGCTCATATGCCACTTTCTCCCTAAAATCTTCTTTGATTACTTTTGTCGATAGCAATCTTAACCCTTTGCCCTCTTATATACTTTGTTCTCCTGTTTCTGCTCATTTCATTCTTCATCAGTTTATCAAAGTTTTCAGAATTGTTTTAAAAATATTGTTATTACGGTATATATGATTTTTCTAGCTCTGGTTCCTTCATTCTGCATCAGTTCATATACATCTTTCCATGTCTCTTTAAAACAATGCATTTCTTGATACTCATCTCCAGAGAGTGAACTGATGAACTCTGAATGCAGTTCGAAACATACTTTTTCAAACTTTTTTTTATAGTTTCAATTTGTTTGTGTTTTCTTTTGCAACATGGCTAATTTGGAAATATGTTTCTTATCTTAAAAACAATAATCTGTTTCTTCTTCATTTCTGATAGCACAGTAATAGTCCATCTCATTTGTATACCACAACTTATTCAGCCATTCCTTAACTGATGAGCATCTCTTTACTTCCCAGTTTGGTGCTATCACAGAAAGAGTTGATATAAATATTTTTGGTACATATGGGCTCTTTTCCTATGTCTTTGATCACTTTTAGGTACGGGCCTAGCAGTGGTATAGTTTGGTCAAAGGACGTAGACTGATAAGTAACTTTTTTTTTTGGTGTAACTCCAAAATACTTTACAAAATTTTTGTCCCCATTTACGGATACACCAATAATACATCTATGGTGCTTATTTTCCCGCAGTCCCTCCAGCACTTACATTTTTCCTTTTTTATCATCTTTTCCAATCTGACACAGTTCTCAAGGGAAGAAACTCAGGCTATCTATAGTCATGTTTTTAAAAAAAATGTTCCAAATCACTACTAATTAGAGAAAAGCAAATTAAAATAATCACCTTCCCTTTTCTATGTCAGATACTCCTAGGAATATCAATAATAATAGCCAATTTAGTTAGCTCTTTAAAGTTTTTAAAGCACTTGACACATATATGTATGTGCTATATATTTATATACATATATCTATATATAATATATTATCTCATTTAATGATCAAGTATTTGAGCTGAGAACAATATTTGGCAAGGTAGGAGGGGAGAGAGATCTAAAGGCAGGAAAAAGTCTGGTCAGGATCACAGAATTTTAAACTTAGAAGAGATTTTATTAACCACCTAGTTCTGGTCTAACAATATTACAAAGGAATCCTTACTATGTATATTTTACCTAATTTTCAGGCCCCTTGATCCAGGCGGACTGATGAAAATATATAATTCTAGGATTTGTCTCCTCAGAATAGAAATGACAATCAATCAATGAGCATTTATTAAATGCTTACTAGGTGCCAGACTGTGCACAAAGCAGTGAAGATACACAAATAAAAAAAGCAAAAACAGTAGCTGCCCCTCAAGGAGCTTACATTCTAATGGGACAGCTGACATATAAAAGTCTAGATACATGCAAGAAATATACGGGATAGATGAGTTATTATGCAAAGGGGAAGTCATGAGCATGTGTAAATGCTAGCTATTGTAATTTTTATTCTAATGGGAGAGACATGTAAAATAACAACGTACCTCAAATGTATTCAAAATAAAAAGAAATCCCTTCAGAAGGGGAGTAAATAACAGTGAGGAAGACTGGAAAGGCCTCCTGCACATGGTACCTCAGAGGAGTCTTGAAGGAAATTGGGTATTCTGTGAGATGGAGGAAAGGAAGAAGAGCATTCTAGTCATGGGGCCAAGAGCAGCCAGTCTGAAGGCCTGGAGAGTATACAGCTGATTATTTAGAACTTGTGGTGATCTGTAGTTCAGAGATGAATACCTTTCAGATGGAGGTGGGAAAAGATGGAAATTCCATGCCTGAGGTAGAGAACTCAAGCAGAAATTTATCTCTGATAACACTGGAGAGCTAGGGAACAGCTGGAATGTTTGTATTGTTCTAAATGTTAGAACGGAGAACTTAGATGTTGAACTGGAGTGGGTTATATGTGGGGACCCTCTAGCAGGGGTTCTTAACCTGGAGTCCCTGATCTTCTTTTTAAAAATATTTTGATAACTATTTTAGTATCATTGGTTTCCTTTGTAATCCTCTGTATTTTACCTTATGGATTTAAAAACTGGATTCTGAGAGGGGTCCATAGTCTTCATCAGACTGCCCAAGAGATCCATTTCTCAAAAAAGGTCAAGAACCATGCTCTATTTGGAACTATCTCAATTCCAGGGTCAAATGGCCCCCTGTATGCCATTAAGGATACTGCATTCTTTTGGTATGGGGCTGGGGGGCAGCCTTTTCAAGGAAAGATTTTCACTTATTTCCTTTTCTCTGTTTTGACTTTGTGCCTTTTAACAGGTGACCTACTTCCTGCTGATGGGATCTTCATCCAAGGCAATGACCTTAAGATTGATGAAAGCTCTTTAACTGGAGAGTCTGACCAGGTCCGCAAATCAGTGGACAAGGACCCCATGCTACTTTCAGGTGAGATGAGGTGATACCTTGTTTCCAATATAGAAATTCCCACGTCATTCTCTTCCTACAGTTGACTGATGAAATCCTTTCCAGCCCAGAATATGCTATTGCCTCTGTTTGTCTCAGACACAATTCCCCTCCCCTACCTTGTACATGGGGGAAAGGTGTAAAGTCTTTACAAAGCAGCTCGTTAGTTTTGAGCTCTCTTTCACTGATTGAACCAAGATTGAGAAATTAATTCTACTGAAACTTGAATTGACTCACTGAATAGCAACCCCTGTTTCACTCTATGAAAAGCTGAACTTTGTTCTCATTCCTCCTAAATGATATTGACGTTGAAGCCAGGAAGGAATGAGAATTGTGCCTCCTTCTCCAGATAAACAGGAAGCAGGTATTTCCTCTGGAATGTCATGGGGTCTGGCCACTGGGTTACCTTGATCTGACTTGGCTGTGAATTAATCTTAGATGTTTAAAATATGAGATCCAGAAAGGACCTTAGAACATAAGATGTTAAAATAGATCTGAAAGGGACCTTAGAGCACAGAAGGTTAACACTGTTAGATCTGAAAGGGATCTTAGAACATAGAATATTGGAACATGGGATGTTAAAACTAGAAGAAAACTTAGAACATTGTATGTCAGGACATAGTCTATTAGATTTGGAAGTGACCTTAAGACATAGAATATCACAGCATAGAATGTCAGAGCTAGAGGGGAGCTTATAATATAGAATGTTCTAACATAGAATATCACAACAGGGACGGCCAGAGCTAGGAGTGACTTTTAACCACAGAATGTTAGAATGTTGATTGTTGGATCTGGAAGAGACCTTAGAATATGGAATGTTAGGATATAGAGTATTGTTAGAACTGGAAGGTACCTTAGAAGATAGAATGTTAAAGCTGAAAAGGACCTTAGAAATCAACTTGTCTAGTTTCTGTATTTTACAAATTGAGATTCATAGAAATAAAGTGACTTTTCTAAAGTCACACAGAGAATTTGTGATAGAGTTGGGGCTAGAATCTAGATTTCCTGCTTTAATTCAGTGTTCTTTTCACTGAAATATATACTGCCTTACCTTCTTCTCTCTGGAGGCTGGATACCGTAGTTTTCAGGTGCACTTGGAGCCAAAGTCAAGATATATACAGCTGGCAAGGACTCTGGGAGGTCAAGATGGCTATTGCCTTGGATTAATAGTTTCTGGTTCTAGGAATTGTGGGAAACTTCAGAGTTGTGGTGTCTTTTAAAAAGGAAGAAATGTGGAAGGGCTGGAAAGAAGATTCATGGGTAGAGTGAGTCTCCAATTGAAGTCGTGGCTAGGGATTCTCCCATTTTGTATCTGTTATTTTCTTTCTATTCCTAGTCTAGTCCTCAGTTACTTTTGCTTGGACTCTTGTAACAAATTCCAGCCTTTCCCTTCTCTAGCCCATCCTGTACACAACTACCAGATTAATCTTCCTGGAAAACAACCTCATTATACCATTCCTCTGGCTCAGAAACCTGCTGCCCCACCCCACCTATTGTCTAACAAAATAATAAAAGTAAAATTATTTAGTCTAGCATTCATTATTTATCTGATCCCAACCTAGCTTTCCTCATCTTCCACTCCTGTAAGCATTTTCTAATCTGACTAAACTAGGCAATTCATTGTTGCCCAATGACATCATGGTCTTAAGTTTATGAAGCTTGCCCCTGCCTGGAATGTCTTCCTCCTTCCTCTCCACTTGCCTGAGTTCTTCTATTTGACCCTCAAGCCTAGATAAAGTCCCACTTCTTCTCCAGAATCTTTAGCTACCTCCCCAGCCCTTGCCAAAAGAAAAGGCATATACCAAGTTCTCCATCATAACTAAGCAAGACAGATGGCATAATTACAATTATTCCCATTGTTCGGATGAGAAAACTGAAGGCTGGAGAAGTGTAGTCGCTTGTCCAAGCTTACATGGTTATTAAGTGATAAGTAGGCATAGGATTTGAACTCCGGTCTCCAAGTCCAGTCCTCTTTCCCCATCACAAAACATTACTCTCCTTCCAGCAAAGTCACCTACATTTCATCAACTCCTGAGCATCCCAGGCTTTTCTTTTGGCACTGGGGGAGAAGAGTCCTCTGAACCAACGATTTCCTCAATATAAAGAACTCCTGGTGTGGACTTCTATAGTTACAGATTAACTTCTTAGTAATTTATAATCTTGGAAAGTTGCCTGGGGCATTGAGAGATTAAGGGACTTATCCAGGGTCACATAGCCAGCATGCATCAGAGGTAAGAGGAATACTCAGGTATTCCTGATTCTAAGGCTGGCCTTCTGACTATACCACTATGTTGTCTCTTATTAGTATAACATAATATCTGTAAAATGAAGTGGTTTGGACTGGTGGGGGGGCATTGTTTGAAGGTCTTTTCCAGGTCTAAATACTATGATTCAGGAGCTATCTTCCCAATGATAAGAGTCATGGAAGAGCTGTTATTGTCCCATTGAGTGATAGGAGTCACATCATCATTCTAGGCTCCAGAGCTGACCAGGTAAAGGTCAGCTTAGCTCCCTGAGGTCAAAGGACCAGCTGAGCTGACTCTGTCTCTGAAGGCCCTTGTCCTTGACACTGTATTCTATTGTATCCCAGCACATTGGCCTCCCGTGGTTTAGCAGTCGTCTTATATGTTCTGCTCCTCTTCCCCTTCCCACCCAGGAGCAGAGCTTTCCCACCCACACAAAGGGATGGTGTTTATTCTCTGCCTCTGTCCTGAGGCCCCTCCATGAATTCTGAAAGCACTGCAGGCATTTGAAGATGTCACTCCCAGGAAGGAGTAGAGAAAAATAGGACACCAGATTCCCTTGGCATCCACAATCAGAGATTAAAGTCAGAATATCTTCCTTGGTTTGGGCTTCTGACTGAACTCAATGTACCTAACCACTGAGCTGTTCAGCATATTTTTGAATCTTACCGACAGGTGGGGTGCACCCACTCATGGCTGGCTCGATCCTTCCTCCAAGCTTCCACCCATGCTGCTCACCTCACCCATGGAATGTTCTTTTAATCCTATCCAAATTCAGGCCACCATCTAAGGCCATCTTTCCTATTCTTTCTTCTAATCGTTCTTGACCACTCTAGACAAATAGTCTTTTCATCCTTTGAAATCCCATCATGATTCCAGTGATTTGTTTGTTTTAAAATTCAAGGCAGTATAGAATTTTGACATCATTAGTAATCACTTTATGTATATATGTATGTATATATGTATGTATGTATGTATGTATGTATGTATGTATGTATGTATTGCCTTCCAAGCTGAGAATGGAAGCCTACTAAGCACTTTATATACATGATCTCATTTGGGCTTTTCAACAACTCTGTAAAGTAGGTACTGCTATCACCCCCCATTTAACAGAGGAGGAAACTAAGGCTAAATCAATTAACAAGCCGCAGAGTGGATCAGTGATATGTTCTTGGCCATATAGCTAATATATCAGTAGCCAGAGGTAAGATTTGAACCCAGATACCTCCTGATGCCAAACACAATACTCTATCTGCCATGCAACCTTGTCTCTCTTGCATAAAGTAGGACACCTAAGTAACTGATGAATAAATTCATTTCTGAATTTCTTGGGGGCAGGGGCCTCTCATCTGATGTTTCTTTTATCTCTGCTTCCCAGCCAGACTAGATCACATAGCAGGTGCTCCTTCAATGAACACTGAATCAAAATATGTCTTGTCTGAGCTCAAACAAAGCTATAGTAAGGCCATTCTACCTTTATTGAATTTCAGCCGGTCAATAAACATTTTATTCAACACTTACTATGTGTTTTTATTTGTATTTTTAGGATGCCTCACTGTCCATGGGGGAGGGTGCAAAGGAAATCATGAAGAAAAAATAACTCCCATTGACACATTTGTTAGGTACTTAATCTATGCCAGGCATTGTCCTAAGCACTGGGGGTGCAAAGAAGAGCAAAAACTTTTTCCTTGTCCTCAAGAAGCTCCCAATCTAAAGGGGAAGACAACATGTCAATAATTAAGTATGTGCAGAGTGGATGGGAGGTGATCTCAGAGGGAAAGCCCTTCTGCAGAAATGCTTGTTAATTGCTTTGTAGATAGTATTATCTCATTTGAGCCTTAGAATAACTCAGAGAAAGAGATGTGAAAAGAATTATGATACTCCCGTTTTACAGATGAGAAAACTGTGGCTCAGAGAGTTTAATTGACCCACTCATGGTCACACAGCTACTAAGCACAGTGTTTGAACACTGATCTTCCTCTCTCTTAAATCCAGCATGCAATCCATAATATAATGATGCCTCCTCATCCATGGCCTGTCCCATTCTCTTCACCCCTTCCCCAGGAATTTAGGACACAGATTCATGCCAACAAGACACAGCAATAATACTGCCACCATCAAAAATAATAGCATTTATATAATACTTTACAGTTTGCAAAGCCCAATCCATGTTATCTCATTGGACTGTGGCTTAGAGATATTAAAAGCCGGGCTTAAGGTACTGATATTGTTTACATTTTAGGAGCTGGCTGGAGTTGGTAGAAGATTGGAAAGAGATGTATTTAGAATCGATTGTATGTTAGATCAGGTAAAATTCCCAGAACTCATTTGATCCAAACCCCTTATTTTACAGATGGAGTAAATGAGGCCCAGAGAGGGCAAATAACTTGCAAAAGGTTGCACAGCTAGTTAGTGTCTGTGCCAGGGCTGGAATCCAGGCTCTCCAACTCCAAGGCCAGTACTTTTTCCTGTACACCACCCCATATATAGCTCTAGGGAGAGAGGGAGAATGTTCTCACTGGGCAGTGGCATGTTTTGCTTGTTCAGATTCCTGACTCCTGATCTCCATTGTGAAACCAACGACTGTGAGGAATTGATATGCCTCTTGAAAGATTGTCCTGGGCCCTTTCTTTGAGTAGCAACAATAAAGAACGCCTACGTGTTCTAAGCTGTCTGGGATCCTTGGCTCTGGGGTAGCTGGGTGGCCCCACGCCAGGGACAACTCAGAGTGCAGCCAAT